ATCGATTCAGGTGAAAACGTGCTAAGTTTTCGTCCGTCATATGTGGGATCCTTTAGTAAAACCCTGTAAGTTTCTGAGTCATTTAAATGAACCATCATTTTTTGTATATAACTTAACCTATCCATGATGACCACTGCACCACCTTTATCCGCTTTAAAACAAACAGATCATTTGGTGCTACTTCATCAAAATGAGGAATCACTTCTCTTTCTATACGATTCTTAGCCTCTTCTGGCAGCTTGTCCGTTAAGTTAATTATCTCAACCAGTATATCTACAGAATGATTTTGCTCATTTGGAAATGCAAAGTCTAAACCCCTTTCCAAGACGAGCGTAACATTAGCATCTATAAATGTACTGGAGAAATTAATGACTTTATTTTTGCTAGAAAACTTAGTACTAAGTTCAACTAGCTTCTTATTGTTTCGACGATTCCTTGGGCTGATGTTGATGCCTGAATTCCTTAATTTCTTATCGTATCGAATCTCTTAACCCAATACTTTTACTCGAAATGGAAGTATGCTCAACAAACTGAAGTATGCCTTATGCGATCTCGAGAGAGCGCGTTTCGAGAGATTCAGTCGCAGTGTAGCAACATTTTGGCCTTCGCTTGGCTCCGCCAGTCTTTGCTCGGATCAACCGGCCCGTTAGTAACTCTACTTTTCCTGTGGATTAGCATTTAAGGTGGTTACTACGTTGGCGCGACATTTCACAAGCTTCACAGACTTCGAGACGCCCGCGTACACTGGCCTGGCGACGACACTGTCTTTTCACACGTTTGCTGTAGGCCGGTCTGGAGGGAAGCTTGACCCTCCCTTTCCCGTCCTGTGGCGTTCTGTTTGCTGCCTCCGAGCCACCGATCCGGCTTCAGGTACGTCAAGAAAGGCAGTCCTCAGCCAATGATTTTCTGACCTCCGTAGGGGCTCTCTTCGTCCACAAACCTACCGTTGGTAGCCTCACTCTGGCCAACAAGGGTCGGTGCATGATGTACCGACGAACACACGATTTCCCCCCCACCCTCATCACCACCTCCACAACCGCGACTGGGTTGTCCGATTGTAGACATAATTGCCACAAGTCAACTACATACTCCCTCTTCACACGAAGACAAATGCAAACACACACTTAAACACACACACACACATACACAAAGACAGGCGGGCAGGCTCCGAACAGACCCACACGCGAACACGTCAATTAGGTCACATCAACCGTCGCTAACTCAACATGATTCTGTGAGGCATCAACAAAGCGATGGCCTGTTGCTGTGATAACCGTTGTTAGGCCGAAGCCAAAAAGTGAACAAAAGAGAAAGAGAGAGCAAAATAGATGAGGAGATGCAAAGAGAGGAAGAGAGCGCTGACGGGAGACTTTCCGAGACATTAGCTGCAAAATTATCGTTGGCCCTTGCGACTCACGCCTCGGGAAGAGGGCGGGGGGCGAGAAATGTTTCTGATGAAGGGTGGACCGTGCCGGTCTGTCGATGCTTTCTTCCGGTGGCTGAAATGCTGTTGCTAGGAGAGTAGGTACGATTTACCGCCTGAAATGAGCTTGAAGGTCTATCGAAAGGGCGGGCCTGGGATTCGTTTGGCAATACGATCTGGCCACGTCCAGTCAAAAAAGCATAAATGGACTGGGTTTATAATGGGTTTTGATGTAAGTTTTTCAAGTCTTTTTGTACCTAAGTCCCTTCGGCTAGTAGGTTAGCAACGAAGCAATACAATGGTCGACTTGCCAGTCAGAAATCCTTTGGGTGATTGGTTGGCGAACTGATGGCGATAATTGGCAAGACTGTTTTCCCAAAAGCCCACACTGTATTCTACCTCAATTTTGAACGTCAAATCTTCGCTACCCTTTCCTCAACAAACACTTTGCACACATGATTATAAGAAAATTTGTAACTTTCACCGTAACACAAGTCTTTGATAAATTTTGACCTCAGACGATACTACTGATGAACTACTTACTAGTCTGTGTCGGCAAAAAAACGTTAATTTTTTTCGATTTTTATCCGAATTACAACTTTATCTGAGACTTATATTCATAAACTCTATTCAAGCATTACTTCAAATGACATAGTGAAACAAATCTAGTTTGTTATTTAAAACCGTATATGATGTGAAATTGAGATTAAATTATTTAACGACTACTTAATTGGAAAATTATGCTGAGTTTTCTTCTGCCATAAGACATATATGGGTGCGACTTCACATTATTTGGGAGACTTTCATTTAGTATGAAAGTGCATGAAGAAGAGATTTCAAGGTCGATCTTACCAGAAGAGGACGGATGAAATCCGTTGTACCGCGGTCGTTTGTCCAGGCTGACACAGTCCACGAGACCTCCTCCCTCGTTTCGGGTGAAAACGGGCTAAGCTCTAGTCCATCATATGATGAACACCCTTAGAGCTGTGTCTCATTCCAGTAAAAGTCTCACGTTAACACTAGGTCAAGAACGCTGGACTCTAGCAAGAATGAGTGCAGCTCTGATTATATCCATCATAGGATGGACGAAAGCTCAGCCTGTTTACACCCGAAACGAGGGAGGAGGTCTCGTGGACTGCGGCAACCTGAATGTTGTATTAAAGCCAAACGGCTGCAGTACAACGGGATTCAGCCGTCTTTTTCTGGTGAGATCGACCTTGGAATCTCTTCTTCCTGCATTTTCATACGAAATGAAAGTCTCCCCAACAATTTTGTCTCAGAATATTAATCGAAACCCAGTTAATCTTAGTATAAACATTCCCAAATTTGATTTTCTTTACTGAGAATATAGCTAAAGTGAATAAATTCCACATAAATATACTTTGCCTGTATTCACCCTATTTCTTTTTAATGATCACTTGGTAGTTTCGCAACCCTATCATTCTGAATATAAATGTTTACGCAAGCATACACGATTAGTGTCTAAGTAAATGTTTTCATCATCATGGCAGCACAAGAAAGTATACGAAATACAAAAGAATTTCTATTTCTATTAGAGGTGCCGCTTGACCGAATTGCTTGACCAAGCGTGCCAAGCTTGACAACCTTTGTTCCAGATTCTTAAATCTTGATTACATTTTTACACCAGCGAAGCTCTGACCTCAAAGTGATTATCGGCCTGCGGGATTAACGAAAAGTATTCAGTGCTATGAGACAGTAGTATGTCATTTTGGCGTCACAACTAACCGAATAATGACGAGTTCTGCTGTACAACAACCCGTTTGGAGAAGTGAAAGAACGATAAAACCCCATGAACCTAAAGTTTTCGTCACCGAGGGATACAGGCTTTTGTTGCACATGGACACATACTTGTAGAGACAGATGTATCTGCCAAGTGGATGCCAAAACCACTCGAAGATTTAATTAAGGGTAAATACATTTTTCATTGTTGGAGACGACGAAATGAATAGCAGGTAAGGCTGAAGTAATCCGAGCAAGGTTGGGACTACAACCCGCCCGGGAGGGATGCACAACCTCGAGATACAATCTAGAATAAAATTGACTGGAATAGGGATCAAATTCAATGTTTAGAGTATATACGTACTTGATTCTATTTTTCGTATGTAAATAGGGTTTCGAGACTTGGTTCTAATCGCGGTCATTGTATGTACTTTCCAGCCTACTCTTTCTCTCTCACGTGAAGACAAAATGCTCAGCAACATAACCAGACGTGTGTTCGACATGACGTGATGATTAAAATATATATGGAGAGGAGGTGATTGTGGTCATCAAACCTTGATGACAGAAAACAGACTTTATTTTTTCTGCTCTTATTACTTTGAGTCATCACTGTTAGTTTCGTACATATGCGAACAAATACACACACACACACACACACAC